ATATTGGTATCTTGCACATGATGATACAATTACTGGTGATAGTGTTTTAAATTTTCATCCAAGTGTTGCTGATGTTGGTTGTGTCAAGCAACTAAGTGAATGGACTGGACCCATCAATGGCTGTGAAATAATTACGAGACTCAACAATATTCGAAAGATGCTTCCTCTTACCTTTATATTTCTATACCTATCTGTCTCCTAAAATGAACCACATATAACTCATGCGCCTAAAATCTATATACGTAAAATCTGTAATATAACGACAAAAATTTTCTCTTTTTTCCTCTTAAATATTCAATAAACATGATTCACAAGAGATGACTAACAAAAGTACAGAATAGGTCAATTCAAGTACATAAACATCTCTCTTGCTTATTATTCATCACCAATTTTCGTTTCTCTTGTCACGTAACATAAAAGCAACAGTGAATGTGTTGAATAAACAATCAAATTGTCAGATAGAATCAGAAAAAAGTTTCATTACTATAAGCAACAATTACATGTCTCCATCATCATCTTAGTTTGATCGAAAGAAGCTTCTCTCTATTTTTTCTTTAAAAAAATTATTTTTAGACATATAATGAAAAGGCAAACCTTAATGCAAACATTCTGTAAGAATATTTCCATATTGGACGAACGAGCTGATGTTTGACTATGTATGACTTTGGCAAGAATTATAGCACTATTTTGTATGATGTTCGTCTATAATTACTTGTTAAGAACGTGTTCAATATAGGTTAGTATGCTATGCTTTTCACCATTGAAAGTGAAAGCTATAGAGAAACCGTATAATTCCTTTTATGAGTCATTCCATGTAAGCCACGCCCGAAATGCATAGACAGCTGCTCAATCGAGGTTCTCAGATTTGCCTCATTTTTTTATATGTGGTAGAGGACGGCGTTTGATGGGTTGTGGCGCAAGCCGATTTGCTAAATCTTGGTTCCTTCCGATTTTATGAGCATTTTACGAAGGCGCTAAAAAATGGAAAAAATAAAAATTGGGGATACAAATTGGCTAATATCTCACGAACGGCTTGGCCGATCCAGCTAAAACTTTCTACAGATATGTACCCTAGTCAGTTGCACTTGTTGTAAAATTCTCAGCCTTAAACCATTGGTGGATGGATTTCTGGAAGTCTTCTACGATTTTCGAAAGCCCATTTTTGCAAATCGATTTTCTCCCAAGATATGGTCCCGTTTGGGCTCGGGCTTTCATAGTTGGGTAGTACTAGGCCTAGACTACAACTGCAGAAAAAATCAGTCTGGGATCTCTGGAGCCGGCTGAGAACAGGGGCCGTCTTTTAGAGGGTTTTTTCAC